TTATTTCCATTCTGATGTTATTTCCTTCCTTCCACTATCTTTGGACTTCATTTGTTTTTCCTTTAATAGTTTCTTGAGGTGTAAATGCAGGTTATTTATTTGAACATTTTGATATTTCTGATTTTATTTTTATAGTGTGTTGAAAAGTTTACTTCATTTCTTGTATTTCCTGTCAACTGGCCAGTGGGTCCCGAACAGCAGTTGGTGAACTTTCCTTTTTGAAAAGGGCCAAATAGGAAGTACTTTATGCTGTGCAGGCTGTAAAGTCTCGAATTAGTTAGTTCTACCTTTGTATGGGGAAAAGAGTCATAGATCTTAGTAAGAAAATGGTTATGGCTATTTTCCCATAAAATTTTATTTATGAAAACATGCCTGTACATCATACTTTGCCAACTCTTAGTCTAGAGGCTTCAAAAGATTATTTACAAACTACTTTGTAGGTAAAAATTGCATTTCATCAGGAAGGTACAGATTTATATCATCCTTCTATTAGTGATTCTATGTTTGATTACCTAAGGTAGGGATCACAGAGCCCTTTCTTTTAAAGATAAACTTTTTCTTTTTCATATGTGGGATGATGTTCTGACACTCAGAATATCTTGTTCCCCAGCAATCTTTCTAACAATTTTTCTAGCATCCCTCAGTAAGTAGCAGTGATCTCTATATATTGTTTCACAGTTGCAGAGGTGCATTTTCAGAGCAAGATTTTTAAGTTGGTATTCTAGGTCTAAAGGCAAATACGTATTTAATTTTTCTGGATATATAAATTTCTTCCATAGATCTTGTGCCATTTGGTAGTTTCTGAATTAACTTCAAACTATGTTTCAAAATTATTCTGGAAAAACATAAGGAACACATTTTAGGTTGAACTTGCAAGACACTTGTTTTTAAAAGACCATTCATTCACTTTCTTCCTGAGTAAAAATATGCACATGTATTCGGTTGTGCACAGACATTTTATGTGATTCCTGTTTGCTTTTTATATTGTAGTTCTATCTCGTGTGACTTCAATTTGTGCATGGCTGTACTGTAACATTTTTGTGGAGAATGGCAATTTTTTTGACAATCCACAGATGATCATTGAGTTACTTTAATGAGCTAGGCTATGTGCCAGGGAGAGGGCAACAATGGCCATCAAAGCAGAGATAGTACTTCCATTATGAGCCTTACAGTCTATTTAGAAAGCCATATTTTAAATGACTACTAGGAAGATTGCTACCTGGACATAATAATGGCTTAATATGGCCGGCGGAGGATGGGAGAAGGAGAGATGTATTTAGAGGGGTTGATATGTAAGTTGAAAATGAAAGCATGGATATGATTTAGCTAGTCAGGTTGTTGAGCTAGGGCAAGTGTAGAGTGAATGAGAACATTTCAGATGAAGGGAACTTTGTGAGCAAAATACCAGAGCAGTTGAGAGCTTAATGTATTTCTTAAGCTGAGGAAAGACTTGGCTGAAGCAGAGCAGAACCAGAAAGTGGTGAGAGGTAATTTGGACAGTAGGAGCAGAACCAGAGGAATTATATACTCTGGACTATATTCTAAGGTCATGGGAAACTTATGAAATATTTCAAGCAAGGGAATAATTTTAATCTACTTAAGTACAATATCTAAACTCCTAGTTTGAGAATGCTCTTCAGGAAATGTGAGAATGAATGCATGGACTCAGCACAGAAGCTCATGATGAATAAGTTTTAAAACATGATGGTAACATATAATTTAATTATTATTAGGAAAAGAAAATAAATGAAATTATTCGAGACTTTTATAGAAGGTAAAATTAAGAGAATTTTAATTACTAAATGGTTATTCCTTCATCTGTTGATTTACTAGAGGACATTTTGCACTTAGTGCTTGAATGATTGATTAAGACATAGTGAAAAAATTTAATCCCTCAAATTTTGTCACAGTCTAACTGGATATTCTGTTTTCTAAAGACTAAATTGCAATGTTAACTTCTAAGAACTTGTATATAGAATAAAAACGGGAAGGAGATAGAATCAAATCGTAGTTATATAAACATACGCATGTAAACAAGAATATACATATAATAAACAAAGAGAAAACATAAAACTACTGCAGCTTTTGTATCAGTAATTGGTCTTGAGGTTGTGGTTGATATCCATGGGTTACTTCTTCAACAGCCAGTTGAAGGATGAACTTCATTAGTGTCTTCCAGATTCCATTCATGCAGTCTTTAGTGATGTAAAACGTAAATGGAGCCACTTTAAAATGGAGTCAGAGCTGCCATCCTAGAGGAACTGCCTTACACGTCTTATGCATCAAACCTCTGAATGTTAAAACAGGGCTAAAATAACCTTTGGACAGAGCCTAAAGCAACACTGTGTTCTAAAAAATTATTTTCAGAGATAACAAGAAAGCAGATATGACTACGGAACTCAGCTTGAAAATTAAAAACATTGTTTGGAATTCATGTCACTACATTAGCTTATCTGCACCAATAAAAATGCCTTCCTTCTATTAATTGTTCTCCTTCCCTTTCCCCTAAATTCTAACTCACACACATCTCCCATGCTGAGCTGAAAAATAACCTCCCAAGACGTTTGTGTACCATTTTCCAGAATATGTGAATGTGTACTTTAGATGGTAAAGGCTCTTTGAAGGTGTAATTAAATCAAGGATCTTCAGATGAGGTTATCCTGAATTATCTGGGTGGACTCAATGTAATTACAAGGGTCCTTATAATAGAGTTAAGTAAGGAGGGCTAGAGAGAGATTTGAAGATGTTATACTGTTGACTCTGAAGAAGGTGACTTTGAGGAAGGCACCATAAGCTAAAGAATGCAGGGGGCCTTTAGAATTTGCGAAAGGCAAAGAAACAGATTCTCCTCAAGAAATTCCAGAAAAAAGTAGCCCTGCTGATACATGTTAGACTTCTGACCTCCGGAGTTGTAAGGTAATAAATTTGTGTCATTTTAAGCCACTAGAGTTATGGTAATTTGTTATAGCAGCAATAGGAAATGAATAAACCTCTCTATTCAAATCTCTCTGTCTTATTGCCACTGAGTAGTCAAGTCCCATTATCTCTTCCCCTGGACTACTTCAACAGCCACCTAACTGTGCCCTCTGCCTCCAATTTCTCCCATTCGCAGCAATCCTAAATTTTTCATATTATACCTGTGGTTATGGCATGGCCCTGGTGATCAATTGCGTTTAAAATCCTCACTATGTCAAAGTAGACAATAGTCTGTCCTCCATCTACATATCTAGGCTTATTTCTAATAAATTAGTCATAATTCCAAATATTCTCCTGAAATGCCTTCCTGTTGAATATCTCCCTGCTTATGTACATATGGTTCTGTCTTCCTCTAGTTCCCACTCTCCTATCCTCTTTACTTTCTACCCAAACCCATTCTCCAGTTAAATTTCTACTGATTGTTTGTTACTTAATGCTCAAGTATATTCTCCCATTAGAAGTTGTCCCTTAATTCCAAATGTTGGTGGAGATATGGGAACCTGGAACTTCCATTCATTACTGGTGGGAATGTAATAGGTACAGCCACTTTGAAAAACAGCTTGATGAGTTTCTTTTCTTTTTTCTTTTATTCTCTCACAATTTAGGAGACAAGAAGTCTGAAATCAGGGTGTCAGCAGGGTTGGCTTTGAAAGAGGATCTGCTCCACCCCCTTCTTCCATCTTCTGGTGGATATGGGCAGTTCTTGACCTTTTTTGGCTTATGGCTGCATCACTCCAGTCTCCCCCTTGGTCTTTACATGGCCTTGTTCTCTATGTCTTTGTGTGTCCTTTTCTCAGTCTGGCAGTTTCTTAAAGTTTAAACAAATTTATTATATGACCCAGTAATTACACTTCAACTTATCACCCCAATGAAATGAAAACACAGGTCAACACAGAGACATGTATACAAATGTTAATAATAGCATCAGTCATAATAACCCCAGACTGGAATATCCAAATAGCTATCACCTGGTAAATGGATTAAAAAACATATGGTACAACCATATAGTATTCATACATTTGAATATTATTCTGCAATTATAGGGGACAAAATATACTAATATATGTTTTCTACATGAATAACTCTAAAAGATCATTATGCTAAAATACAAAAGATTATGCCAGATACAAAAGGTATAATACTGTATGATTCCACTGATACATCTAGAAAAGGCCAATTTATAAAGACAAAAAGCAGATAAGTGGTTGCCTGAGGTGGGAGCGGACATTAAAGGCAAATGAGCACAAGGGAACTGTGGGTGATGATTGAAATGTTCAAAAACTGAATTGTGGTGATGTTTGCATGACTCTATAAATTTAATTGAATTACTGAATTTAACTTTCAATGGGTAAATGGCAGAGTATCTGAGTTATACCTCAATAAATCTGTGAAATAAAAATTTTAAAGTTTTCTCTGTAATTAACTCAAGGTGTAGAGAAAACATTTACCTTTGTTTTCAGCAGTCTTTGTTACATACAGATTTGTAATACCACTTTGTTGCAATCATGCTTCTATTTTTGGTTCTCTCTTCAATTTGTATACAGTGAGCAATAAATACACATTGGATTAAACTCAATGGAATCAAAGTGAATTGAATCCACATCGAGTATATTTTTCCTCAATAACAAATTATGGTTTTTCAGTAATTTGAAGATCTTACTATATATACACCTACTACCTGATTCTTCTTTCTTTCCCCTCTCCCAAAAGTCCTTAGTTCCATCTGCGATATTGTTTGATAACCTTCACAATCTTTATAACCTTAGTTTTGGTTCCCCTGAAGAAGACACTGAGCCAAGGATTCATGTGTAATTACTTTATTATAAGGAGCAAGGAGCATGGAACATGGGTTGGACAGAGGAGATGTAACACAGAGAAGAAAATACCTCTAATAAAACTTACATTATGTCAGCTCCCACAAAGAGTGAACAGAGTTTTCATCCTGTAAAGACATTCTGGAAAGTGGCACAAAATCAAAACTTTAGAGACTACAATCTTCACTTAGTTCTAAGGTGAGTGACCCATCACAGACAAGGGGCTCCTTGGCTAAGGAGCTTTCCCAAGGCCCCCTTCACATCCTTGTTCCTCAAGCTATAAATGAAGGGGTTCAACATGGGGGTGACCACTGTGTACATCACTGAGGCAACTGAGTTTCTTAGGGAAGAATGGGTCACAGCAGAACTGAGATAGACCCCCAGGCTAGTCCCATAGTACAAGGAGACCACAGAGAGATGAGACCCACAGGTGGCAAATGCTTTACGTTTTCTCCCTGCAGAGGACATTCTCATTAAGGAGGAGACAATCTGAGAGTAAGAGAAGAGGATTCCAGCGAGAGGAAACACACCAAGTAGGGCAGTGGTCACATATAAGAAGATGTTATTGATGAGGGTGTCAGAGCAAGCCACTTTGAGAATCTGAGTAATTTCACAGAAGAAGTGTGGAATTTCAGTGCCTACACAAAAAGTCAGCTGCCTCATCAGTAGAATATGAAGCAAAGAGACCCAGAATATGATAGACCAAGACAACAGAACCAGAAGGCCACACAGGCGTGGGTTCATGATGACCGTGTAGTGCAGGGGGTGACAGATGGCTACAAATCGGTCATAGGCCATCACAGTCAGAAGGAAACCATCCATTCCAGCAAAAATCATAAAAAAATATAGCTGAATGAGGCATCCAATGTAGGAGATGGTTTTGCTCTGTGTCTGGATGTTCACCAGCATCTTTGGGACAGTGGTGGAGGTGAAACAGATGTCAACAAAGGACAGGTTGGACAGGAAGAAGTACATGGGGGTGTGAAGGTGGGAGTCAGAGATGATGACCAGGATGATGAGAAGGTTCCCAAGCACGGTGACCAGGTACATAGACAGTAACACTCCAAAAAGGAGAGGCTGCAGTTCAGGATCATCTGAGAGACCCAGGAGGAGGAATTCTGATACTTCTGTGTGGTTTCCGGCTTCCATGTAGCTGGTGTGTTTGCTCAAGAAAGTGACAAAAGCGATGTTTAGTGAACTGCCAACTGGCACATCACCTAGTTATCACCTTCTCACTCCAGCTTTGCAGGTCATCCTTCACCCTCAATTAGTACTTTCAATGACAGTGATTCACTCAGACAAATGATAGCTATTTTCATGTTTAATGTAATTAGCCTGTTTTAAATTTATTAGAAATCCCTTTTGGTCTCCTACTCACTAGTTCTAATTCTACTTAAATCAATTTCTTCTATGATATGAACCTTCCAAAATAATTGAAGACATTTAATGTCTTTTATTGGATAATCTCTACACTTCCTTCATTCAAATAGCTCTATAGTTGATATTACTTCCTGGATTCTCAGCTCAAACAACCTTAATTCTATGATCTGATGTTTCCCATTGATGTGACAGTCAACTCTCAAGTGCCTTATTTTATTTCTAAAAACATGGTAACTGCTATTACCTTCTTTGGGAAAATTAAAAATGCTTTTGTAAACTAATTGATCTACCATATGATCCAGCAATCCCTCTACTGGGTATTTACTCCAAAGACTTGAAAACCCATATCCAAAAAGATATTTGCACACTGATGTTCATAGCAGCATTATTCACAGTGGCCAGGACATGGAAGCAACCAAAGTGTCCTACGATAGATGATTGGCTAAAGAAGCTGTGGTACATATATACAATGGAATATTACTCAGCCATAAGAAGAGATGAAATGCAGCCATTTCAAAACATAGATGGACCTTGAGATAATCATGCTAAGTGAAATAAGCAAGACAGAAAAAGTTGAAAATCACATATCACTTATATGTGGGATACAAACCTAAAAGCAACAAATGAGCAGGACAAACAGAGACTCATGGACATGGACTGTAGACTAGTGGTTACCAGAGGACTATACACTAGTGGTTACTAGTGAGGGCATTGGGAGGTAGTTAGGTTAAGGGGGTCAAATATGTGGTAGCTGAAGAAAACTGGACTTTGAGTGGTAAACACAAAAGAATATACAGATGTCAAATTATAATCTACACCTGAAAATTATATAATTGTATTCACCAATGATACCCCAACAAACTTAATTTTTAAAAAATGCCTTTGTGCACAGTAGGATCTCTATAAGTTATAGCTATTATTATTATTACTAACCTACTTTCTTAATTACAATGATCTTTGACATATAAGTCTCCCAAAGTGCAGTATAGACTTGAGATTCAGAAAATGGGATCTTGAGTGAGACTCCTTAGAATAAAATGGTTCACCAATTTCTTATCTGTGTAATCTTGACAAAGTCTTTTAATCTCTCTTAGCTGCAGATACTTGCCCTCAATAATGAGAATGGTTACTTTCTACATTGTAAGACTAATGAGTTATTTAAATGAGATGATGCATGTAATTTTCTAGTGTGGTTCTTGTGACATACAGTGGACACTTGATAAATGTGAGCTTCTGTTCTTAACATAACAAATCTGTCTTGCATGGCTCTCATTGATCAATATTCTTCTTAAACTGGAAAAGCCATCAAAGATGGGTTTCTGATCATTATTAACACAACAGATCTGTTACTTCTTTGACTGCCATGCAGCACTTCTAATTAATGAAAATCTCTATGGCTCCTCTTCCAGATACTGCCTGCCAGGCAGATTCTTTCAAGGAGTGGGAAAAGCATGTGGACTACATAGATAAGAGGGAGAAACAAAAATCACAAAACCATTAAAATAAAATACAAAGCTCGTATGAGAGTATATGTTCATGTGCATGAGCTCTTGAGGAAAGACACATATTAAAAATCAGCACAGTAATTGTCAAAAAAAGTATTGAGATAATGAGGCTCAGGTGAGTTGAAGGTTGTTAGAGCCTTCATTGCACAGGTGCGAGTGACTGGCTCAAATTGGTACCTAATTCTCTGCTTACTTGTTTCTTTGTGTGATTTTAAAAAATAAATGCCTTCTGAGGAGAAGGGGAAGATGGCAGATTATGTAAAAGAAGGATTCGTCTCTTCCCAGGACCGCATTGAAATTACAACCAAATTATAAAATAATCAATATGGAGAATCACCTGACCAGCTGATATAACACCTACATCTAATAATATAAAGGAGCCACATCGAAGCTGGTAGGAGGGGCAAAGTCCTGAATCAGGCTGGACACACACCCGTGGGCGGTGGAGGATCACCAGGAGGAAGAGCAAGGCTGCAGAGGCTCTCTTGAAGGGTTGGGGGGGCGGTCCTGGTCACATCTGGGGGCTCCCAGCCCAGGCAAGAAGAGATTCCAATAACTCTGACTGTAGAAACCAGAGGGGATTCTGGCCGTCTGGGTGCGATGGAAGGCAACTGAGCCCCTAGATGGTCCCTTTGAAGGACCCACGCAAAGGTTTTCTGACCCGCGGACACTCACCGGGGACATTGGCGGTGGGTCTGAGGCTTGTGCGGGATTCATTCTGAAAAAGTCTCCATTACCTGGAGTCAGAAAGAAGGCTGGAAAGGCAGCCACCATTGTGCCTTAGTCCAGCCCCCCTACAGACCAGCCAACTTGATTGTGCAGACCCCTCCCACAGAGCCATTAGGAGGCCATCAGCCCACCTTGTCTGAGGCCATCAGCCCGCCCTGCTTAACCCACAGACTGCCGGGAGCAATTGTTCATAGTTGGCTGCCAAGCCCTGAGCTGAGTAATTCAGAGTGAAGTATTCACAGTGAGGCGACCATTGTTGTGAGCAGCATTTCTAATCCCAGCAAAAGCAGCCATCTCTGTGAGCCCCATTTCAGAGATAAGGTCAGGCAGATCATTGCTACCAACATGATCTTAGGCAGATACCAGGGACTTGTGGGCCAGTCCCAGACAGCAGTGGGTCTTGCTGTGATTTGGGTCATCTGCGAGAACTTACAACAGTTACCACATTTCCAGCCACTGTCTCTCTGAGACCATGCCCCACCCAACCTGCAGACTGCTCGGGGCAAGTATTATTGGCTTGCTGACAAGCTCAGCTCTGAGTGATTCAGGACCAAATGTTCACAGCTGGGTGGCCATCGTTGTGAGTGGCCTTTCCAATCACAGCAAAAGCGGTCAGCCCTGTAAGCTACATTTCAATTCCCAGCGGACAAACAGTGCTGTGAGCTGCACTTCATCTGTAGGGATAGGCAGATCACTGCTGCCATTATGAACTTGGGTAGATATCTAGGGCCTGTGGGTCAGTCTCAGACAGCAGCTGGTCTTGCTATGACCTGGGTCTTATGCGGGAACTCACAACAGTTACCAAATTTACAGCAAGACTGAGGATGTATTGATCTGACTACCACTGTCTCTCTGAGACCCTGCCCCACTCGAACTGCAGACTGCCTAGGGCACTGTTATTGGCTTGCTGCCAAGCTCAGCTCCGAGTGTTTCAGGACCAAGTATTCACAGCTGGGTGGCCATTGTTGTGAGTGGCCTTTCCAATTGCAGCAAAAGCGGCCAGCCCTGTAAGCTACATTTCAATTCCCAGCGTGCGACCAGTGCTATGAGCCACATTTCAACAGAAAACATGGCGGAGTGAGAGACATCCCCAAATCTCTCCCCTTGAAACAACAATAAATTGAATGTCTAAAACTCAACAGAAAACACCCACATTGCACACCAGCACGTCTGAATGTGGGATCTGCACATAAGGGCTACCACAGGTACTATAAGGCATTATATAAATCAGGGATTTAAGAGGTTTAGACACCACCTACTGGACACCAAAAGAAAAGTGCCTTCTTTGCAACAGACTACAGTCAGACCTTTATATAATAAACCTTCTTTCTGGAAAACAGCATAATACACTTCCATTAATCCCCAGGTGGAGAAATAATCCATGAACAACCAAGGTGACAAGACATTTCATAAAGAAAGAAAAATCTCCAGAAAATAAGCTTACAGGCATAACAATATGTGACTAAAATGACAGAGAATTCAGGATGATACTTCTGAAAAAACTCAATGAGATCGAAAACAGATCATATCAACCATTTCAGGAATTGAAAAAACAACTAGATGAGCAGAGCAAGGAGATTGAAACCCTCAAAAAGAACCAAATAGAACTGGTGGAGATAAAGAACACACTGCAAGAGTTGAAAAATGAAATAGCAAGTTTCGGAAATAGAGTTGACCAAATGGAGGAAAGGATCAGTGATATCGAAGACAGAAATCTAGAAATGCATCAGAAGAAAGAAAGGAGAAAACGAAGAATGAAAAATAATGAAAAAGAAATACAAGAACTAGCTGATACCATCAGGAGAGGAAACATAACAGTAATGGGCATTATTGAAGGCGAGGAAAAGGAGTAGGGACTAGAAAGCATTTTCAGACCAATAGTTGATGAGAATTTCCCAAATCTAAGGAATGAGCTGGAGCTTGGAATTCAAGAAGTCAACAGAACACCCAATTATCTCAACCCAAAATTGCCTTCACCAACACACATTGCATTAAAGTTATCAAAAATCAGTGACAACGACGGAATTCTCAAGGCAGCCTGTGAGAAAAAAATGGTAACATATAAAGGTAAACCTATTAGATTATACTCAGACTTCTCAGCGCAAACCTCACAAGCCAGAAAGGAATGGAATCAAATATTTAAACTATTAAGTGAAAGGAACTACCAGCCTAGAATAATATATCCAGCTAAGCTCTCCTTTAGATATGAAGGAGAAATTAAGACTTTTCCAGACATATAAAAATTGAGAGAATTCTTCACTACGAGACCTGCACTACAGGAAATACTGAAAGAGGTCACCTCACCTAAAACAAAATAAATAAACAAAACAAAAAATACATAATTAGGAGAAAAGTGACTATCAGGCAAATAGAAGCAGAGGAGTGCAACTGTTACTAAGAACAGGACATTATAAGCTTAAATAATAAGAAAAGAATTGCTATAGCAAGATAGTCATGAATGTTCAGCATACATAGGGACAAATCGAGACAACAATGACTGAAAAAGGGAGAATTGCCTTTAGCATACATAGGGAC